ATCCTTTGGTAAATGCCTTTAAATTTTTGTTATATGCAACTCATGCTTTTTAAAAATAATACTGAAGTTAATTTATATTCTCTTTCCAAACAAACAAGGAATTTAGCATATTCTATTTTTACTGCAAAAACTCTCTTTAATTTACCGTGTTGTCTAGTAAACGTTTTAGTTCTGCTTGGTTTTAAATACAAAATAATGGTTATTATTAGCACAATTTTACCAGGTTTTTTTCCTTCCATCTTTCATTCTGGATACCTATTCTTTCTTGCCAAAGTCTCAGTGGATTTTTTTAATTAGGCTTAGTTAACTCTTTTGGGCTTCGGATGTATAAAAAATGTTTATTACTTTCATTCTCAAATGATCATTTATTGGAGATAGAATTCCATTCTGTCAGTTTTTCCCCTTGAGCATGTTGCAGATGACATTTATTCTCGTCTGGCAGCCATTGTTTCCAAGGAGAAATTTGCTATCAGCTTGAATGAGTAATTTTTCATTTGGAGATGATCTGCTTAACTTTCTCTTTGATATTCAAATTTTTTCTCTTAATATTTACTAGTTTTGCTACAATGTGTCCATGTTTGGAATTGTTTTTATTCATATTGCTGATGACTCAATATGAATTCTATTTATTTGTTTTTCAATATAAGTATTTCTTCAGTTCTCTCTTTAAATTATCTCCTTAAATATTGCCTCTTTCCTAATTCTGACCTTCCATTCTTTTACAATTTCTACTAGAAATATATTGAACTGGAGGCCTCCCTGGTGGCGCAGTGGTTGAGCGCTGGGTTTCGAAGCGGCCCGCAGCCTCTGCAACGCCAGTTAGATCCCTGGCTGCTCCCCGGCCACCGGAGGAGGGTCCCGCGTGGCGCACAGACCTCTCCTGCCGCCCGCTGCTCCCCTCAGCTGTGTACTTCGGTCCTTCTGCCTGTTCTGCTCCCCGCTCTGGCTCTGGTGAATTCTCTCATTCTCCCACGCTTCTGACTGTACCCAGTGCTTGTATAAAATAAACAAACAAATAAATAAATAAATCTTTAAAAAAAAAAAAAAAGAAATATATTGAACTGATCCCTTTCTTTCCCTCCATTTCTCGTAGTGTCTTATTTATGTTCTTAATTTATTTCTCTGTGCTATGTTTGTTTTTGCTCTTTCAGCTTTCAGTTAACTAATTCTTTTTAATTGTTTCCTTTTTTAATTTGAATGAGCATATTTTCATTTATTGGATTTCCATTCAGTTCTTTTTAAAATCTAATTGTTCTTGTTTCATAGTCTCCTATTCTTACATCAGGGATTTGTATAATTTCCCTTTGTAACAGGATATTATTTTAAAAATATTTTCGTATGTTTTATTTTTTTGTCCTGAAAATCAGATCACTCCACATTGTAGTGCAACTGGCAGAGTTTCCAGGAAAGGAATTGGGATAAATCTACTATATTTGAAAAAAATATTCAATAGTAATCAGCTTTTCTCAGATTAGATTTTATTTGAATCTACAACAAGAAAATAAACTTGAAGTCCAGGCTTCTCTAAGTATAGAGAGTTATCCCAGTCAACCTTAAGGTCTACTCAAGAAACCAGAAACGTGGAATTATTATATAGGGAACATAAAAGCCCAAAGCCCACCACTTAAAGGCCTTGGGTATAGGTGGGACTTGCTATGTGGGTGTGCAACCTATAGAGTCACACAGAGCACTATGCCTAGAAGGGGAAGTAAAAGAAAAACTGATTTTTATTGGCCCCAGAGTATTGAGAAAGAGGAAGAAAAGAGTGAAACATATGGATTCCAATTCCTCCATCGCCCAGGAAGAAAAAGGATATAATATGGCTTGAGATGAACATTAAAAGTGGGGTTCTGGGCCTCCCCGGTGGCGCAGCAATTGAGCGCTGGGCTGCAAAGCTGCCCGTAGCCTCTGCAGCACCAGTTTGATCTCCCGTCCCTGGGGAAGGTCCCACATGGCGCGCAATGTATTTCCTGCTGCTAGCTGCTCCCCTCAGCAGTGTATTTTGTCAGTCTGCCTGTTCTGTTTCCCGCTCTGTCTCTGGTGAATCTCTCACCCTCCCACGCTTGTGACTATACCCAGTGCTTGTATAAATAAATAAATAAATCTTTAAAAAAAAGTGGGGTTCCATTTAGCACTTTAGATTCTGGAAGGAGAATCTATAATCTCGTGTCCCCCAAAATGAAGCAATCTGAAAGAGACTTTTTTTTTTATTTCACTTTGTTTTTTTTGTTTTTTTTTTTTTTTAAGATTATTTATTAATACAAGCACTGGGTACAGTCAGAAGCGCGGGAAGGTGAGAGAATTCACCAGAGCCAGAGTGGAGAGCAGAAAAGGCAGAAGGACCGAAGCACAGTGTTGAGGGGAGCAACGGGCGCAGCAGGAGAGGTCTGCGCGCCATGTGGGACCCTCGCTGGAAGCCAGGGATCGAACTGGCGCTGCAGAGGCTGCGGGCAGCTTCGCAGCCCAGCGCTCAACCGCTGGGCCACCAGGAGAGTCCCAATCTGAAAGAGACTTTAAAGTTAAATATTTTTTGAGAGTAAATAAATATTTTAAAGTCTTAAAATATTTTTAAGACTTTAAAATTAAAATATTTTCAAACAGTAAAGCAATCTGAAAGACTAAAATTGAAATATTTTTTTAAATTTACAGAGATATCACACAGGACAATATATTTACTCATACTCAGCTGATCAGACAAAATGTAGTTTAAAGGAATTTTCTATTAATTTTCCAGTTTTCATTAATTGCTTCCATTCATATAGAAGTGGGAGGAAAAAAAATCTAAATTTTAATCAAACCCAGAAAACCCTGTCCAGTGCAGTAATTGAACCAGTCCCTTTAATCTTAATTTTCAATCCTTTTTAAACATTTGTTACTTAGATGTCCATGTGTTCTACCTTTACTTTCGCAGGTATTGAGTGGGTTCGCAGGTGTTGAGTATAACTAATATGGCTATATGGTGTTAGAGGTAGAAAGCTTCACTTCACTGTGCCCTGTGATGAACTGTGGGTTCGAACTGAACTCTATAATAATGGTACTCCTCGTTTGCTCACTGTGTTGATATCAGTTGCAAATCTCTGAAGCTAGTGTGACTAGTAAGTAGTGGTCAGTTTTGCCCCACTGCTCTCAACCCCTACAAGTCTTCCACATCCTCTAAATAGCCTAACCTGGGTTGATAACTTATACTCTTTTTTTTTTTTTAAAGATTTATTTATTTTTTTAAAAATTTATTTATAAAAGCACTGGGTACAGTCAGAGGCGCGGGAGGGTGAGAGAATTCACCAGAGCCAGAGCAGGGAACAGAACAGCCAGACTAACGAAGAAATACCCTGCTGAGGGGAGCAGCGGGTGGCAGGAGAGGTCTGCGTGCCATGTGGGACCCTCCTCCGGTGGCCGGGGAGCAACCGGGGATCAAACCGGCGTTTTAGAGGCTGCGGGCACCTTTGCAACCCAGCGCTCAACCGCTGTGCCACCGGGGAGGCCAAACTTATACTCTCTTTAGCAAATTATCTTCCTCTTGCCAGAATGGGTCTCTTGGAAGGCTCACTAACCTAGCTCAACTCTCTTCCAGATAAACTTAAGGCTGATGACTAATTCAGGAGACACTGGGGGCTTCATGACTACATTTCCTCTTAGTACTATGGGTTTAGATTTCTTTTTCCTCTTTCCTTTCTCCCTTCTTCCCTCCTTTCCCCTTCCCTTTCTTCTCCTTGTTATTCAGCTTATCTGTTTGTGTAGAGTTCTACTATATCTGCCATCTTGTGTGGCAATCCCAGGATGTTATGCTAGTAACCAGTTTTAGTGCCCTCTTTTGCAGAGGAAAGATATATACTTCAACCTATCCTTTAGGTAAATATGCTCTGAGTCAGGAAGGTTTTGGTGTGTATTTTTTCTTTTTGTCATTTAGAAATTTTCCTTTGCAACGACCATTTCCATTCTCCTCTATTCAGTAATATGAATCCTCAGCAACCATAGACTTTGTGAGAGGATTGTGTACAGTGTGCATACTAGGACACAAATTAAATTATTTCAATTAATTATTAAGCAACTGTAGGGAAAATTATTATTACAAACATTCAGAAAAGGAAATGCTTTATGAATTGTATAATCTAATTGGAGAAATAAGATTGCATGAAATATTTAAGTAATATTACAAATCTTCAGTTTAGCAAGTGTCCGTAATTGTACCACAACAAACATCTATCAAACTTTGTGAGAAGGGAGGGATTACTCTTAACCATATTACTGTTAACCAAGGGCTTCAAGGGAGCCCTCATGGGAAAGGCTTGTCCTGAGTTGAAAATTGAGGGAGACACTGGTATTTAGAAAGCTTATAAAAGGAGTAGTATTGCATTCTCATGTCATTTTAATATTGAGTATCATGGACATTTTTCTCCCTAAGCTTCTTTTCTAATTAAAAATTGTGTTTACTGGATATTTCCTGATTACAAATAGTATACTTTTTTAGTGTGGAAAATATGAAAAATTGTAATGAAGAAAGTAAAGCATCATCTGTAATTTTTCTGAGTCAACTGATAACATTTTGATTTAATAGTTTCAGTTTTTTAATCCACATTTGTGTTTTATAAAAGTAAAAATTGGTATCATAATGAACTTATATAAATTTAATTTTTTTCACTTATGGACATTTTACCTTTCAGTAAAGATTTTTCTAAAACTTGACTTCTCAAACTGCAAATACTCATTCTATTTGTTTAATCAATATCATTTTATGGGTCACTGGGGAAAAGACTGATAACTAAGTATTCAGGATTGTTTCTCCCTTCTTCCTTAATAAGAGAACCCTAATTTTATTTGGGAATATTATATATCTAATTAAAGGTTACATTTCCCAGCATCCCTTGCAGTGGGGGTCACCATTGACCAAGTTCTAGCTGATGAGAGCTAAACAGAACAATTAAAAGCAGTTTGATGAAAGACTCTTTAAAAGGGGCTGACTCAGATGAGAACAAATTTCTTTTGCTTTTTCTTCCTATCAGCTTTCTGCTACATGAAATGAGGAACTGATGCCTGGCGAGTATCTTGGATTATGAGATGGAGTTCAAAGATGGAAATCATTTCCTGAGGATGGTAAACTAGCACGATAGGAACCTTGATCCCTGATGATACAGTGAAGATGCCACATTAGCTCTGGATGGCCTTATTCTGAACTTCTTTTTGGTGAGAAAAATATTTTTCTATTTAAGTGATGATTATTTGAAATATTATCTTATATGTAGAGAAACTTAATTCTAATATCTAATACAGATATTTAGGCTGTTATAAGTATTTTTGTTGTTGTTAAAAGCCAAGCTGCACTCAGCATACTTGTCTACTCATCTCTAACATTTATATGAGAAATTTAGAATATATTCCTAGAGTTGATTACCAATTAAAAGATTGATGAAGATTTTTTATTATTTTGTGCAATATCTTGACTAACTTGGGAAGGTATTCTTTTTTTTTAATTTTTAAAATATTTTTTATTTATAACACCAGTATCTGGTCTGTATTTTACATTTATTTTATTTTATTTATTTTTTATTTAAATTTTATTTTTTATATTCCCCATATAATTACAACCTTATTTTGACCCCAAGCCCTTCTTTAGCCTCCCCCGACCCGCCATAGAGTGTCTCTGGTTCATAATTGTTTGTCGATTTTGATATTTTCTTTCCTATAGTTATTCTTTTTCCTGGTCCCTTATTTAAGTTTTCTAAATTCCTGCTATGAGTGAGACCATCCGGTATTTTTCTTTTTCTTTCTGGCTTATTTCACTGAGCATGATCCCTTCCAGCTCCATCCATGTTGCTGCAAATTGCATGTGTGTTTATCTTTTTTGAATGCTGAGTAATATCCCATGGTGTATATGTACCGCATCTTCTTGATCCAGTCATCTATTTTTGGGCATTTGGGTTGTTTCCAAAGCTTAGCTATTGTAAACAGTGCTGCTATAAACATAGGGGTGCAGGTGTTCTTTGGAATTGATGTTTCTGTGTCCTTTGGGTAAATACCTAGGAGTGGAATTACTGGATCATATGGAAGCTCTATGTTTAGTAGGTCCAGAAATCTCCACACAGCTCTCCATAGTGGTTGGACCAGTTTGCACTCCCACCAACAGTGCAGAAGAGTTCCTTTTTCTCCACAACCTCACCAACATTTGTTGTTGCTAGATTTTTTAATATGTACCATTCTCACTGGTGTGAGATGGTACCTCATTGTAGTTTTGATTTGCATTTCCCTGATTACAAGTGATGTTGAACATTTTTTCATATGCTGTTGGCCATTTGCATTTCCTCTTCAGAGAAGTTTCTTTTTAGCTCTTCTGCCCATTTTTTGACTGGATTATTTCCTTTGTTTTTGTTGAGTCTCATCAGCTCTTTGCAGATTTTTGAGATCAGTCCTTTATCATTAGTGTTGTGTACAAAAACGTTCTCCTAGTCGGTGGGGTTTCTCTTTGTTTTTGTTATTGTCTCTTTTGCTGTGCAGAAGCTCTTTAATTTGATGTAGTCCCAACTGTTTATCTTTGCCTTCACTATCACTGCTTTGGGTGATGTGTCTGTAAAGATGTCTTTGATGTGCATATCATGTAGTGTTTTGCCTATATTTCCTTCTATGTATTTTATGGTTTCAGGTCTTATATCTACTTCTTCAATCCATTTTGAGTTAGGTAGTAGTCAAGCTTCATTCTTTTGCATGTAGCAACCCAGTTTTCCCAGCATCATTTATTGAACAAATTTTCTTTGCTCCAATGCATATTCTTTGCTCCTTTATCCAAGATTAGTTGACCATAAATCTGTGGGTTTATTTCTGGATTTTCTATTCGATTCCATTGGTCTGTGTGTCTGTTCTTGTTCCAATACCATGCAGTTTTGATGATTATGGCTTTCTAGTATAGTTTGAAGTCTGGGAGTGTGATGCCTCCATTCCCTTCTTTTTTTTTTCAGGAGAGCTTTGGCTATTCGGGGTTTTTTGTGATTCCATATGAATTTCATCAATAATTGTTCTATTTCTTTGAAGAATGTCATTGAAATTTTTTATTGGAATAGCATTGAATCTGTAAATTGCTTTTGGTAGGATGGCCATTTTGATAATGTTAATTCTTGCAATCCATCAGCAGGGGATGTCTTTCCATTTCTTTGTGTCTTCTTCTATTTCTTTTAAGAGTGTTTTATAGTTTTCTCTGTATAGGTCCTTTACCTCTTTTGTTAGATTTATTCCCAAGTATTTGATTTTTTTGTTTCGATAATAAAAGGGATTTTTTTTTAGTTTCTTCTTCTTCTGATTTATTGTTTATGTATAGGAAGGCTACTGACTTTTGCGTGTTGATTTTGTATCCTGCCACTTTACTGAACTGATTGATTAGTTGAATTAGTTTTTCTGTGGCGTTTTTGGGGTTCTTTATGTATATTATCATATCATCTGCAAATAGTGATAGTTTGACTTCTTCTTTTCCTATTTGGATTCCTTGTATGTCTTTCTCTTGTCTTATTGCTCTGGCTAGGACTTCCAGTATTATACTGAAAAGCAGTGGTGAGAGTGGACATCCTTGTCTTGTTCCTGATCTTAATGGAAATGCTTTCACCTTTTCACCATTGAGAATGATACTGGCTGTTGGCTTGTCATATATGGCCTTTATGATGTTGAGGTATGTTCCCTGTATCCCAAGAATTTCAAGGGCTTTTATCATGAATGGTTGTTGCTCTTTGTCGAAAGCTTTCTCGGCATCTATTGATATCATATGGTTTTTATATTTCTTTTTGTTGATGTGTTGGATAATGTTGATTGATTTTCAGATGTTGAACCATCCTTGTGTTCCTGGAATGAATCCTACTTGGTCGTGGTGGATTATCTTATGGATACATTGTTGGATTCTGATAGCTAAAATTTTATTGAGGATTTTTGCATCAGTGTTCATTAGGGAGATTGGTCTGCAGTTTTCTTTTTTTGTGTTGTCCTTGTTCGGTTTTGGTATTAGTGTAATGTTGGCTTCATAGAACGTTTTTGGTATTATCCCTTCCTTCTCAATTCTTTGGAAGAGCTTGTGAAGGATAGGCACTAATTCATTTCTGAATGTTTGGTAGAATTCATTTGTAAATCCATCAGGTCCTGGGCTTTTGTTTTTGGGGAGGTTTTTGATTACCATTTCAATTTTGCTGCTTGTAATTGGTCTGTTTAGGTGTTCTATTTCTTCTTTATCTAGCTTTGGGTGATTGTAGAGTTGTAGGAATTTGTCCATCTCCTCTAGATTGTTGAACTTGTTTCCATATAACTGTTTATAGTAGTTACTGATTATTCTTTTGATTTCTACTGTGTCCGTTGTGATTTCTCCTCTTTCATTTATGATCCTGTTTATTTGTGCTTTCTCCCTTTTTTCCTTTGTGAGCCTGGCTAGAGGTTTGTCTATATTACTGATTTTTTCGAAGAACCAGCTCTTGGTTTCATTGATCTTTTGGATTGTTTTTTTAGTTTCGATTTCATTTATTTCTGCTTTGGTTTTTATTATTTCTTTTCTTCTACTGGTTTTGGGGTTTTTTGTTATTCTTTTTCTAGTTCTTTGAGCTATGAGATTAGGATGTTTCTTTGAGTTCTTTCTTGTTTCTTGATGTGAGCCTCTATTGCTATATATTTTCCTCTTATTACTGCTTTTGCTGCATCCCATACATCTAGGAAATTGGTGTCCTCCTTGTCATTCAATTCAAAGAATTTTTTAATTTCTTCTTTGATCTCCTTGTTAGTCCAGCGGTCTTCCAGTCGTGTGGTTTTCAATCTCCATGAGGCAGGAGAGTTCCTTGCCTTCTTTTTATGGTTTATTTCTAGTTTGATGCCTTCGTGGTCAGAAAAGATGGTTGGTATGATTTCAATCTTGGTGTATCTGTTGATGTTTTTCTTGTGTCCCAGTATGTGATCGATCGTGGAGATGATCCGTGTGCGCTTGAGAAAAATGTGTACTCAGATTTTTTTGGGGTTTAGTGTTCTATAGATGTCTGTTAAGCCCAAGCTCTCTAGATCCTTATTTAGAGCTTTAGTGTCTTTACTTATTTTTTGTCTTGTTGTTCTATTCATTGTTGATAGTGGTGTGTTGAAGTCTCCCACCACGTATGTGTTTTCTCTGATGTCTGTTTTCAAAGATGACAATAATTGTCTGATATATTTTGGTGCTCCTTCATTTGGTGAATATATGTTTATGAGTGTTATTTCTTCTTGAAGCATTGTCCCCTTGATCATAATGTAGTGACAGTTGGGGTCTCTTTTTACCTTTTTGAGTTTGAAATCTGTTTCATCTGATATAAGTATAGCTGTTCCTGCTTTCTTTTTTGGTCCATTTGCTTGTAGGATTGTTTTCCATCCTTTAACTTTGAGTCTATTTTTATCTTTTGTAGCTAAATGTGTTTCCTGGAGACAGCAAAAGGCTGGGTTTTGTTTCTTAATCCAGCCTGCAACTCTGTGTCTTTTTATTGAAGAATTTAATCCATTTACATTTAGAGTTAATATTGATATGTTGCATCTGTCTTTGCCATTGTGTTTGTCTTTCCTTTGAATTTATTTATTTACTGTTTTAATAACTTTTTTTATTTTTGGCTTTCTTTCGTTGTTATTCGTCCCTCCAAGTTTCTGGCTTTAGGACTTCTTGTAGTATTTTTTGGAGTGGGGGGTTAGTTGTAATGAAATTCCAGAGTTTGTGTTTGCCTGGGAAGGTCCTTATTCTTTCATCACAGAGGAGGGAGAGCTTTGTGGGATAGAGTATTCTTGGTTGGCATTTGTTTTCTTGGAGTCTGTTGACTATGTCCCTCCACTCTCTCCTTGCCTGTAGTGTTTCTTTGGAGAAGTATGATGTCAGTCTGATTGGTTTTCCTTTGAATGTTATCTGTTTCTTCCCTCTTGTCAGCTTTATTATTTTTTTCTTGTCTTGGATTCTTGGGAGCTTTATTATTATGTGTCTTGCTGTATTTTTCCTTTCATCATGGAAGTTTGGTGTTCTTCTTGCTTCTTGTATATCAATTTTCAGCTCCTTCTTCACATTTGGGAAGTTCTCTTCAATTATTTCCTTGAATATTTTCTCTGTTCCTACATCTCTCTCCTCTCCTTCTGGGATTCCTATAACTCTTATATTTCCTTTCCTCATGGAGTCAGATACTTCCCGAAGTCTTTCTTCGGTCTTTTTCCTTCGTACTTCTCTT